GAACATCGATGCGCGCTGGGCCGGAAGTGTCTCATAATAAAAGAGTGACTTCCGTTGATGAAACAATACCGTGAGTCGGATTACTGCCGCGCGCGTCGTCCATCTCGCTTCTTTCCTCTCGGGCGAGAGCTCCGCTTTGCTCGCCCGTGCGCACGCACGATATGCTAGAGTTACTTTATCCGGCTCTCGCGCCGGTTAATTTGCGTCAGAAATAATTTAACGCCGTAGAAACTGTGCCCGCCCTTGTCGCCACGTCACCTCTGGCGATTTCTAGCGGCCGGGGCAGATTAATCGTCACGATGACGATCGCTATCGGAACGACTCTCGGAGCAGCTCCGGCCGACATTCCCGGATATCGCGAATTACCATTCCCGATCCGCCACGTATTATAAATAATGTAGCACATCCTAGTACGATTCAACGCAACGGTACAATTCCGACTGATTTTGTTTTGCTTCTGTCCTTCTGTTTTTTTTTTTTTTCTTCAAATGGCAATTATGAGCGTTACAGAACAGATGTTTAATAAACCGGCCAAACGATCAGTAAATCATTGATTGAGCAAGTTTATCTATTCATAAATATGTGCGAAAGTAGTTAATTGAGTGAATTAATGTGCTCCGCGAATTTGAACGTTTATTGCCGCTGCGCAAAGTGTGTGAATAATTTGTGAGGTAACTAAATTTACGAGTTGACTTGATAATTATATTTACATGTAAATGTGTAATAGTCATTAAACGCGCGTATATCTTTATTTTCTTCTCTCTTTCTCTCTCTCTCTCGCTCTCCCTCGGTATATTATTACGATCATTAAGTGTAAAACTTGACAAATATGTGTGTATAAATAAATACATTTTTAAATAAATAATACTGATAATTATTAAATTTATAAATACATTTTTTCATATTGATTTGTGAGAAAGTTTTCAAAACATTTGTTCTTCACAAGTTTATTAAAAGTAAATAAAAATGTTTTCACTACAAAACTTTTGTATAACATTTTTTTGATATCTCCAATAATTTTCGAGATATAGAAAAGCAAAAAGCCGCTTTACATATGACAGATGATTTTATCGTTTTTAGACGGCAACTGAAAATTTGTAAACTCATCTATTTATCCTGTACAAAGGGACTGACTTCTGATATTTTACACAATTACACATCGGAAAATCTCAGGACGATTTTAAAACGATCGGAAACCGTGACAAAAAACTTCATCGATTATTTCCCCGCACTGTAACCTAATCGTCGGACGTCGATTTTCGCGCTTTAACGTCGAATTCGCGGCGGACACGCTTATGGGCGCTCGCGCGAGACTTTCCGTGCGTTTTGCGTACGCTAAAAGTTGACGCGTAATCGGTTTAACGCGCCGGCATCGCGATATAAAACGCGTTTGGAATCGTTCCGCAGATGATAGAAAGCGCACAGACACGTGGCCGGAGAGCGAGAGCGAGACCGAGAAAAAAAAGAGAGAGAGAAGAAGGAGATACCGAGGAGGACGTTCCGCTTTATCGGTGCAAATGGGATGCCAGCATGTTTCCATTAATTCAAATCACCGAGTAAAATCGTGCCGTGGAATGTCCATTAAAGTCAAGCGGAGAAGTCGTTAGCTTGTTCGCGACGACATTGGGAGTACCTTGGCGTTTTGTTAGCAACTTATATTTGTACATGAAAATCGAGAAAAATAACTGATACACACACACACGCACATCGATTTTTATATCGGAAACACTAGCGTCAGACTCTCTTGCAATTCTGTAAATTATTGTAATTATATCAAATTTGATTAATTTGTTTGTTTAAAATTGTAGATTGTAAAAAAGAAAAATAACACACACACATTTCAATTTTTACTTTTTTAAAATCGACTCGTTCGAGTGTGTTGGGATTAAATCATTTGATGTGGAAATGTGCTGAGGCATGAAGTGAATAGAACGGTGCGTTGAACGGATGTTCCGGTTTATCGGTGCATACGGTGCGTGACGTCATGTTTCTTCCGTCGTCGTCGTCGGACAAACTCGCGCCATCGGGACGCACGTCAGAGTCGTTAGGCGGTAAAGTAAAACTCTTTGCAAGACCGCGCGACGATGCCACTCGAGAGCGCGTATTTTTTTTTTTCTGATTCATCACATCAAACGCTGATGAATCAACGACCGAGGCGATCGCGAGACTCGTCTAGTCTCACACACCTTCAAAGGCGACGAGAATTCTCATTGAATTCGATAAATTACCACCATCTCAACGTGATAACGTCGACGTTAAAGCCATTCAAATCGGATGTAAAGTCGTCGTTTCGAAGCCTCGCAAAAGAGATCCCTGTAATGCGCGTATGTACGATGTCACGAGAAGAAGCATTCCAGAAGCGAATAGTTACGTTGCGAGTGTATTTAAATATTCCTGACATTTTCGTGACGACGGAGTCGCGTTACAAATGTTAACGTGACACGTTTCTTTCTCTCTCTATCTTTACACTTTTTTTCCAGGTGTGTGGACACGAAATCGGTTAATCGAAACGCGCCGGAACCGACGGGGGAGGTGCGCGCGCGCGGAAGGGCGAGGAGGGAACGCCCGGAATGGCAAACGTTCCGGTTTGTCAGCGCGCATGCCACGGCTTGTTTCCATTTAATTCGCGTTCGCAAGGCGAACTCGTGCCATTGGAATGCTCGCTTGCGGTCTCGCTCGGGCAAGACACGGCACAACCTAATTTGCTGTATTGTCGCGCGGGCATACGTGAGCGCGGCCCACCTCGCGAAACTCAACTCGGGGAGGAGGGAGGAATCCGATAATAAGTTAAGTCCAATTAACCCTTGTCACACTTCAGAAAAGCGAAACTTTAATTTTTTTAGCCGAGGAAACACATTTAAAGCCGCAATCGAGAAAACTAGACTGGTCGTTCGAGTGTACAAACGTGTGTAAGTTGAAAATTTATACTCGTCTTAACATTTGCGCAATTGATTGTGCACTTTTTTTCATATATGTGCCATTAAATATGTCTTGATTTCTCATAAATTACTATTTGTAGAGAATTTTTGTTTGTTTTGCAAATGTAAAAAAAAAAAAAAAAAAACCAAAAAGTCACACATCCAAGCGTGTATGCCATTTGTTTCGCGCAACTTTCCAGTCGGAGAATCTGCCATTTTAATCTCAAGTTATTGATATAACGGACCAATGTATTACAAGGAAAGGCGTCAGTTATTTCATTAATGAGCGAACGCGGCTCTCACGTCGAGTATTTATGTATGCTGAAAGGTTGTCTGCTTCGAGGAAGGAATATTTAGCGGCAAAAAGACACTCACGATCGATTATGCGCGGCTCCTCCGCCTCTTTCGTCTTGCTTCGCTGTAATACGCGGTCAAACTCGCGCGCGCGCGCGAAGAAGCGATCGCGCTCTCATGCGTGAATGCGGAATCGCTTAATTTCGCAAAACGCACCGTGCAACACATCGCGTAAGGGGACAAGGTGCTAGAAACGGGACGTTCGTTCGTCCATTTCAATTCCCGGTATATATACGAACGCACGTAATAACCGCGCTCGGACTCTACGGAGAATCTTCTCCCATTAAATTCACCTGAACATTTTATTCCACCGGAATTAATTCATTTCCGAATGCCGCATCGGCGATTTTGTTTTTTGTTTTTGTTTTTTGTTCCCCCCATCTAGAAAACCGGATTATGCATATCGACTCGTAGAATGTATAAATAACACGTGGAAACATGTGTTTCCTTTCAACGCGAAGCCATAACACTTAACTCAACCGGAAACTTCGTGTCGATAAGATACGAATCAGAGAGATTAATATTACAAGCAACGTTATTACATTAATTAAGATATTTTTCTTCATAAAACACGAACATATTCAATATGCATATAAATTCTCGATAGCGCGGTAATTGATGTCTCCGGTTTTTTTTCCATGTTTTTTTTTAATTGGTTCAGAGTCGATTTCAGAACCAATTCAACCAACGCGTTTTTTTTTTTTTTTGTATTTAATAATTGCTTATACCAAACTTTATTCTTAATTCGGAATTAAATTCGATATGGATTATTTATATTTCGCAACGACGTTATCAAATTCGAAACGCAACTTGACGATACTTAGATAGAGTTTCTTTAATTTTCTCTACTCGCGTATAGTTTCTGTTCCAGACGCTTTTGCAACGGGAGAAAAGGATTCGTCGGGAATTGCTTAATACCGAAACGCGACAGAACGCGCAACGACGACGCGAGATAGAGAGGTAAGAAAATAGAGGAGAGACGTACGTTCCGCTTTATCAGCGCATACGGCATGCCGCGGCGTGTTTCCATTAATTCGCGTCGCGGGGCGAACTCGTGCCGTTGGAATGCCCGTTGAGGCCCGAGGAGAGAAGTCGTTAGGCTGCGTGCCCCGTTCGTTTGACCGGCAACCGGTTTTCCCATCGGGTGATTCGTCGTTAATTCGCCGGCGCGGAGTAAGTAATCGCGCGCGCGTCCCAACGACCACCTCGGGTGTGTTACACGCCTGCGTTTACATCGTGCCAACCACGGGATTGCCCGGCTTTTACCCACTTCTGCGATCGGGGGAGAAAAAGTTTGACGGAAAAATCAAGAACCCTTTAGCGAGCGAAACTCGGTCGATAAACACGCGACTGTGCGTTCGCACAACACACGAGTATATCGACTTTTACGCCAACGAGCACGTTGCACAAGTTCGTAACATAGCGCGTTTCGTCTCTCTCGTAATTTAATATCAAGATCCCATTCCTGAGAGATGAAACGTTTGCGCATTAATCTCGCAGTCGCAAAATACAAGATCGGAGAATGTAAAGAAGAACACAACAGGTTTGCAATATTGGTTGACATGTGCGAGCGATGTTCGCGCGAATACGAATTGCGACTCACATCAACGATAGTCAAGATTGAAACGTTAAAAAAAAAAAACAAAAAAAAAACATACCGATAGACTTCTGTGTAATAATAATAATAATAAAATCCTACGTAATTCTCTTGTGAACTTGCCAACTTACCGAATAAATTCGCCAGCATAGAACTGGAAGCTCGTCCTGAAACAGACAATATGTGTGTGTCAATAAAAAGTTTAACGGCTTCTGAATTACATCTGTCATCGAGTTATTACGCAAAGAAAACACGGGTCTTTTTTGTGCAAATAGATCGTAAAAAAAAAAAAAAAAAAAAAAAAAACGAAAAAATTGCCGCGTTCGCGTAATCTGTCTTCTCGGGCTTTCAAACAATGCGCAATGGTCGCGCAACAAACTCGATGTATACGGCGTATAGTTTAGAAAACTGACAGATCTAACGAAGATAACGAATATATCGGGAAATGACCCAGTGAGGTAAAATCCAATTTAACGTGACACGATTTCATGCAACGCGCCTCCCACACGCGATGTCACACACACACACATGACTATTAGATGGCATAATATTTTTTACTAAACGAGAAAAAAAATAACGTTGAAAACTTTTAATATTTCGTAACAAGACGGAATCATTTTGATCTCCCGCCTACGCGCTATTGTAGGTATCATTGCACGTAAAAAGAGAAGTGTAATATAGACTCGATTCAGTGGTCTCGCGGCTTGAGTGTGGCGGCTGCGAGTAGGTAGGTAGGTAGGAAAGAGGTTCCGAGTTCGAATCCACACAGATTCGGATTTTTCCGGGCTGTGGTCTCTTTCACTTCGAGTTGGAAAGCGGAACTGAATCGAGGGTGTCTCCTCCAAGTGATCTGCTTAGTGATTTTCGGTATCTTCTCGTTCTGCGAGATATACCCACTAAAACGTCCGGCGGTATGCCGGACGTGTGTGATTTGAGGGAGAGGCCCCGGGAACTCTGGGGAGAAAAAATAGGAAAGTAAATGATTGCTGGAAGTGGCATCTCACTTTTATATAAGGTTCTGTACGTTTACAGCAAATAGGCATCTGTGTGTAAATAGTCGTAAATTAAAAGTTTAACGTGTACATATGTTAAATTTTCAATTTTTTACATCGTTTTCTTTACGTCGTGATCAACGTCACCCTGTCTTCGATGAGGCATTACATTGAGCAAAGCTAAGCGGAAAATTCTAGTTCGATTATGCAGCACATCTCGTCGTGCTATCAGTGCGCAAGGATACAGCTGCGCTCGATCCTCGTCAATTTTCCTATCATCCAATCCTTTTCGGTCGACTCGCGCGTGAGAACGCAGATTATCGCGACGCAACGGCTCGTTACTTGCCCCCCTACCCCCTTGAGAATTTTACGATAGCTCGGGGAGACTCGAGCATACACGGTTTACACTTTGTGTTCTGCGTAAATGTCCCGACATCTAAAACGCACTTACGTGGAAGCGATAGGACGCGCACAAATGGGGAGGTCCTGTTGGCGTTCGCGCGCGAGCAAATCGTCCGGACGACGAAGCGAGAAAGACACTCGCATTACGTGCACGCACACGCGCGCGACGTGCCACACAGCCGTGTTATTATATTTTACTTTGGCCGAACGCGCGGAAACCCCGGGATAATTTGCGCGAACAAGCCGCAATTATTTAAGGGTGTGCATACGTAACGAGAGGGGTAACTCTTTCTCTTTCTCTCTCCTTCTTCCTCCCCCGACCGAGTGCTACAAGGGGGTATACCCCCGCGTTTTGCTTGGGACGCGCGGTCTCTATCGATTCGCGTCGCCGTGTCGAAGCCGCGAACTCGTAACTTCTTCCGGGAATCGGCTACCCTTTCTTTAAGTAACGCGGGATATGCACGCGGTAACGACGTTTGCTCGATGTTTGCTCTTCGCCCCGGGGAAAAAAAAAAGCTCGTTCAATTTTTGCGAGTCGCGAGAAATTTGCGAGCACGGCCCGCAATGCCGATGTAATTCCGAGACGAGATCGAGGCGCGAGATTCGACGGGATCGCGTGTAAAGATCGTTTGTGTGTGTGAAAGTCAGTTGTCGGTGTGATGCAACGCCTCGTCCTCCGAAAATGGAGAAACGACGGAGAAAGAATGCGGCGATGCGCGAACGATTGTTTATGTGGAAAAATCGCTAAGTTTTTCAGCTTCGCGCGAGGTGCAACTCGCTCTCCCCCCGAAGTCCATCATCGTGCACGATATTACAATCGAGGGAAGGGGATGATAATGGCCGGGTTGATTCGTGGGGTTAATTATGATTCCCTGCCCCCGGTATCATTGTTATATCCCCATTATTATGAAGGGTCTCTTGCATTAAATTTTACTGCGAAAGAAAAAAGAGAGGCAAAGCTATTAGGCCATTAAGATAAAAACTGTGTTCTACTTTGCTCGAAGCTGTAATTTTTTTTCCTGTTTTTTTTTTTTTTTTTTTTTTTTTTTTTTTTTTTTTTTTTTTTTTTTTTTTTTTTTTTTTTTTTTTTTTTTTTTTTTTTTTTCATTTAGAGATCTATCTTCGGCTTGACAAAAGACACTGGACAAATTTGCATATTTAAATGGGAGCGGTATCGAGGATAATGACTCAATGGAATTGTCCAAAAACCTGAAATGTGTGCGCCCCGTAATATCGAATGTTCGAACTGTTCCGCCGAATAAAAAAAAAAAAAAAAGACACGAGTTGTTAAACCGCTCGCTCGAAGTGTTTTCTTCCATGTCTCGCGTCTAAGAGCTTTGTTTTCTCTCATCGCTCTTATCATCTCTTTTTTTCTCAACAAAAATATCAATTTGTTAAACCTATTTCGGGATCGACCGATAAACCTGGCTCGAAACGCACGTACCGTATTCCGGAGCTAATGCTCGCACGCGGCTCCTAATCGTCGCACGTACGGCTGTTCGTGTGTTTACCCTCGCACCACAAACACGCGCGCGCGTACGCACAGACCCACAACAAAACCCGTTAGTGTGGGAGTGCAGTATGGCACTAACGCCAGGGTGATGGTTGGAGTGGCTCGGGGGGTGATTATGAGCGAGTAAGTGCCCGCCGTCCAGTTTTTACCACCCCGTTCCACCCTCCTTCCCTACATTCAGGCTGACCGTTCCTCCTTCGTCGCAACCATCCCACCATCGTTTACCCCCGTGTTCTAGCAGCCGCGCTGCTACTCTCACCACCGAGACTCGACTAAACCACCAACGGATCAATACGCTAAAACATTGCCACGTCGAGACGCCGCCGTGTAAAACCCGAAAGAAATACCGTGGCGGGGGCAGTGTTTTCCCTTAGCCGGCGGCCACACTGCGTCCTCCCCCTGCGTCCGCGTAGCTAACGAACTTCCGGTTTTCGACCCTTTTACCGTCCAACTTCCCGCGCTCTCCCGCCACGGCTCGTTCGTTTTCCCTTTTCTCTCTTTACGCTCTCATCCACTATCATCTTCTTGCACAACCTTTGGTTGTTTGGTCAGTAACCAAAATTTACGCAACGCGGTCTCCTCATTAAGCAAGACGTAAGAGGATCTCGCGTGAGATTTCTCCGTTGTTTCCTCCGGGGAATTAGAGGGAAATTGATTATTTATCTTTGAGGATAAGGAAAAGACTTCACGGGATGTTTAACGAAGTTTTGTTAGAAATCGCGAAGCTTCCTGTAATAATTATTTATTTAAGTTTTATTCTCATTTATTTTTCGTTTTTAGCTCGTTTGTTTAGTTTTGTTTGTGCTTTGTTCCGCCATCTATTTTGCAAGTAAATAAATAATCAAATATAAATAAATCTAAAAAAAATAAACGACTAAAGTTGCTAACTTCAGGATCAGGATATGCATCTCTTCAGGACGAAGCACATCACCTGAAAGTTCAACGTGTTTTTTTTTTTTTTTTTTTTTTTTTATTTGATATGTTTTCGACACGATATTTTATCTCGATTTTATCTCAGCAGTGGCGGCTCGTGGCTAGAAAGAGCTCGCTATCGATACTAGACTTTCGAAGGGCACGAAAGACGGATGAACGGATGTCCTGGCCTACCGCAACCCACGTAAGGCACCGGAACCACTCTCGCCCTTCGATTCTCCTCCCTCCCTCCTTTTACCGGCACACGTTCGTGTACGTTCTTACTCTCACGTGTGCTCGACATAACGTCGAGTTTCCGCGGACGGTCGATATATCGATTGTCGTCGACGAACGACCGGCTGACGAAGGTGAAAGAGAGAGAAAGAGAGAGAGAGAGAGAGAGAAAGAGAGAAAGAGAAATATAGAGAAAGGGGAGTAAAAGCGCTCACGGCTGTTGTTCGTGTATGTCTGCTCTGTGGTCACTTGTTGCCTACCACCCCCGAGGGTTGGCCTTGTCCCCCCATGTTTGGGGATCGCTTGTCGTTCGACCGCCGACAAACCACCCGGCGACCAAAGCGCCCGACATGCTCGGGAGATCTTTTCTCGGCGAATAAGGTCAGCAAACTCCACCGAGCGAGCGAATTCTCGATGTTCTCCTTTGTTTTTTTTATTTTTGTTCCGTGTTTACGCGTTTCGGGTAACGCCGCGCGAGAGATTCCCGCGAGACGGGAATTTTTCTTAACTCCAGAATTGACGAAGCGTTTTCGAAATACAGAAAAGCGATTTTGACGCGAAGCAGCTAATCAGAATGAGATCGATGGCAAAAAAAAAAAAAAAGATTCTTCAAGGGTTGCGTAGCTGTGCTCGCGCCGCATAAAGTTCCCGCGAAGAAAGAACACTTGGCGAGAGAGCGTCGGCCCGATAGACGACAAAGAACACGAACGATTCTAAACCGATGCGTTATAGTTGGTTTTCAAAGTCAAGCTCGGGAATTAATGCGAGTTCAACGTTCCCGCTTCGTTCGGTCGCGTAGTTGAGAACTCGGCGCAGCGGGAGCGAAGCTTTGAACTCACGCGCTCTACACATCTCCGAGTCGCGTCATTTAAATTTTCTTCTCAATTCATTTCTCGAAACACAACATCCCCTTTCGTCCAATCTTTTTCGGAATAAGCGAAACGTGATTTTTTTTTACGTAAACACGCGCCGTTACACGCGAGTGTCTTCTTCGCCGTTTTTCGTGGCACGCTACTTAAAACCGCCGCGCTGCCAGTTTCTCGTATGAATAATTGAAACTTTTCCGAGACGTTCGCGCCTTCCCCGATACGAACGAAATCCTACGCTCGCGTAG